CAAAAGCTTAAATCAAATTGATTTCCTTCCTTCCAGTGAGGGAAAGGTGAGTAGAGAAGGATACTTATTATCCTACTATTAAGGCACCTTATATATTAAATTTCGTGTATTTCGTTTTTCATGGTTCGTCTAAATATTTTTACCGATGATGGATTTGAGCATGTAAAACTGAAACAATTTATGACTTCTGTTTTACAGGCAACTTCCGGTCTCAGTATTCGTTGTTTCGCAAGAACCGTTCGATTTTTATCACAAAATTACAGTTACGGACTTGTTACAATACCGTCAATTGCGGCTTCTGTCTTGAAACGATAACCTATATGTGTGTGATGACTAACTCATCACGAGTTTTTCATTTTCCATTTGGTACGATTTGCGTGAGAACAAAGTTGATGAATAAGGAAAAAAGGTCTAAGTTGATCAGTGTCGTGCTCTTAATGAGGACATCGCAATCTACGGTTAATCCCTTTTAAGTATCAATCTAAATAATACGGAATTCAAATTATTGTAATAAACACGCGCACACGTCATATCAAGAGGGGCTCTCGCTTTGCCTGGTGTAAGTGATGATCGACAAATAAAACCGCTTTTAGGGAGGGGAGAGAGAGAAGATAATGAAGCTTGACCTCTATTACGAAGGGGAAACCTTGGACCCATATAGAATTTTCCTAAAAATGTACAACATTGGTCATCTATTTGAGTTTATTCTCTGGCATATTGAAAGTAGTGCACCGTGGGATTAGCCCATTACCTATAGCGAACTTCGTTAGATACGGTTTGTTTACGCTCGAGGGACACCAAGATGGCGGATAGTAACCGTTGCTAAGGTATTGGTCAAGTGGGTGAAACCCAAGGATAGTGATAACAGTGCACAAGATTATCAACGGGAAGGTGTGACCTTCAAGCAAAATCATTGAATAATTCTAAAGAGAAGTGAAATATTTATAATGATTGACAGCCGGAAAAAATCTTTATCAGATGTGGGAAATCACTAAATTATATGAAACTGACAGACAAAATTTTGCTCTTTGAAAAATCCTTGATTTATTAAATATAGGTCAGTTGTTTGAACGGGCAGTCATGCGTCGTCAGTCATATCAGGTGGCCAATAAAATGTGCTGGTTATTTATCTCTTACGCTGAATCTGTTCAACTGTAGATTTAATAGTCACACTTGTCCTCGAGGCCGTAACTTTTTTTTTNAGCAATAATTATTGTTATTTATTACACGACTCGGGCAGTCAGAGGGCCAATAACTAAAATCAACCAATCAAAATGCTCTATTGCCGGTCAATATTCTCTCAGTGTTGGACTGGGCACTGTCCTGAATGGTCCCGAATGATACTGCACTTGTATCCCTTTGAACTTCAGTCATATAATAAATCTCTTATTAACAAAGCTTGCTCAGGACTGTACTGGAAGAATATCGGCCCTCGGTCTATTTTGTACGGACCTCGCTGCGCTTGGTCCATACTGTCAAGACCTCAGGCCAATATTCTCCCAGTACGGCCCTCGTGCTTGGTTAATAAGATATATATATCATGAAGGTGAATAGTGCTTTTCAAGGTGTGCTGATTGGCTAGTTTGGAAGTCAATAGCATGTATTTTTCACCTCTGAGCAGCCCATGAGACAAAATCACACATCAAGAGTTGAATTTCCGACCATTTTTTCCCCATATATTCAGAGAAATAAACTATTTTTTGCATTTGTGTGGTTTATACTAAAACATTATTCACCACAGTGTTGTTGAAAGTGGTGCATATTTACATAGCTGCTTTGCAGCTCAGTAAGTATCCATAAATATCGATAATGGTTTATACTTAAAACATTATTCACCATAGTGCTGTTAAAAGTGGTGCATATTTACATAGCTGCTTTGCAGCTCAGTAAATATCCATAAATATCGATAAATAATGATAAATGAATGGGTAAATACACAAAGTAACTCACCTGGCTCATCAAAAAGGTCATCAGGAAGATGAGAAAATCCCACATTAGGGTCTATTTCCTGTTAAAATAATAAACATGTCTACTTTGGTGTTTAGCTTTTAACCCTTAGGGTCACTAACGACTAATTTCTCTTTACCATATCACCCCTGAATCACAAATTACAGTCACAAACATACAAGAGATGATTACCAACTAAAGCTCTTGATTGTTAAACAAATTCTCCTTGTCAGCAGCAAAGCAAATGCAAAGAGAACAGTATAGAGAAAATCTATACTGATTTAAAGTGTGTAAATGGTTAATAAGCATTATAAAGCTGATGAAAGGCTGTATAATGATTAACCCTTCAACTCTCAGACGCGATCAACATTGAACTTCTCCCTACAATATCTTTATATTATCCAGCAAATAGGTAATGAGAATACTCAAGCTTATCAGATGGAAATTGTTATTTTGATCTAAAACCAAATTCTCATAACATATTTACAAAGAAATGTGTAGCTGCTAGAGGGGAGAATTTACAGTCGGATCATGGAAGTTGATGGGTTAACTTACCATTGCATAAAGGTTGTCGCAGCCTTGAACCTTTGTTGGAGTGTTGCTAAATTTCTGGTTAAATGCATCTGATATGTTATGAGCAGGATCAGTTGAAATGATCAAGACACTGTCTCTAGTTTTGGCAAGTTGAAGGGCAATGCTACAACTAAAAAATAATAAAAGTACATCCATCATGAAAATTTTGCACAGACTGTAAAAATATTAATTCCTGGCTCAAAATTTACCATCTGTTTTTTCCATTCACTTGCATGACACTATTAACATTGTTGATCCTTGAAGCTGCACACTGAACTCCGGTTGCATATCAACCAACCAATGACCTTACTCAAAGAAGACTTTTCTGTACTTTTCCTTTTGAAAATTATAATTAGTTGAATGCAAGCTGACATGGGACACTGTTAGTCTTCCATTCTTAGGTAAGATCAGGTCATCAATTCTTGTTCACTGTCAGGAAGACAGTTAGTGAGAGTAATGAAAAACATCAAACAGGGGATTATGCAAAGAAAGATGTCTTTGCTTTGTCCCCCGTATGAAAAAAAGGAAAATTTAAGGACTCCAAGATGGAATATGGGAATAAATATGGGGAAAGTGTCTTGATAGAGCAACAAATTCTTAGAACCATCAAACAAACAGTCGAGTATAATCATCAGTAAATAAAACTCATAATCTTGAGAGTGAAGGATAAAATTTAAACCTACTGAGTTATGAAAGGAGAATTTTGTCAAACATTTCTCAATATTATATAAAAAAACGTTTGACATAATCTTCCTTTCTTAATGAAATCATGACACCTTGCTACTTATTTACATCTTGAATAATAACAATAAATGAGATAGGTTAATTAATTTATTTCAGTCAAATAGCTATCAAACTAGTGCAAAGCATCGAGAAATAGAAAACATCTAAACTTCAGAAAATTAGGTTAAAGGGGTCCTTGATTGATCGCATGATAATCATACTAATACTGTGTAAAACACATTATGGTAAGTACGTTTTCGTAAGCATTGAACTTAGAAAAACGTGAGCATTTGAAACATTTCAGGAATATCTAACGTAGTATTACTAATCACAGTTGAAATCAGGACACGCGTAAACCAAATATTCACAAGGCGGTACCATGGTTTCATTTCTGAAATCTTCAACTATCATATAAAAATCGTCGCAACCATTCTGCAAATCTTCATTACATAGCAGCCTGATTGCGTACCTGCATGTTGTCTTACCAACACCACCTTTTCCGCCGACAAAAACCCATCGCAGCGTTGTCTGTTCGATGATATTTTGAATCGAAGGTTCGAGTACTTCAGTTACTTCAGCGACGTTTGCAGACGCCATCTTGAAATGAGCGTGAATGAGAGAAATGGATTGGTAACTAGCAAAGGTTGGTCATGTATGGGGAATTTTTATGTCCCCAATACATGTTATGTCCAATACTATACATACATATAATTAACAACTATTCACCGAAGTGGAGGTGGTTAGTGGTGGATATTTATGGAGCCGCGAAGCGGCGAGGTAAATATCCACCGCTAACCACCGACACTGAGGTGAATAGTTGTTTTATTATATA